ATTCTGTCAGCTGCCTTAAAACTCTTAATTCTCTTTCACGTATTTTGTCACTGACAGATATTAACACCCAAATAAATAAATAAATAAATCATTTTTTGTTACTAGAGGATAATATATTGATCGTGTGTATCTTCTGAAAGCAAACCCCACCCCTCCCTACCAAAAAAAACCAACAACAAAAAAATGTTAATTGCAGAGAAAGTACAGGCATCCCATTTTCCAAACGGCAGATATCTCAGAGAATAGAAACTCTTTGAATATTAATGTATTTCCACTACATTTTTCTCCTCGACCAGTGGGAGCTCAACCAGAGCTCATATGCCCGTGAGATGTCAGTCCGGCTTCAGCTTAGATGCATATAAACACACACACACACACACACACACACACACACACACACACACAAATGCAGACAGGAGATATGGAGGGGAAACTGATCAGCTGCGTGGAGCGGGGAGGGCATTCCAATGGGACTAATTAAAGGGATGGAACAGACTGCAGAACTCATTGGAGACCATCACTCTTTTCTCCAACTCTGTTTCTTTCTCCTCTCGCTCTTTCTTTCTCTTTTGCTCCTCCGTGTTCAGTTAATGAAAGCTACATCATCCAGGGTTATAAGATCCAGCGTTCTCACCAGTGTCCACACTGGAAGACGTGATCAGAGGAAGTGCAGGAATTCTGGTGTCTTACAGCGACTTGAAGGGTCCGCTGGAGACGCACGTGCACGCCGGAACGACACGTGAACCAGCGCAAACACAGCTGTTGACAAGCAGTTGCTGTGCAATCTCAAAAAAATCACAAGCATCCTAACTGGCGGGCCGACTTTTGTTTTGTCAATACAGAAAAGCGTCTGTTGTCTGCGAGTTTGTGCAGATGTGTGAGTCACCACTGGCTGCTGTGTTTGATACTGATGGAGAGTCAAGCTGTTTCAATGCTATTGATCAGAACCCCTTGTTCCTGAGCAGTCACACACACACACACACACACACACACACACACACACACACACACACTCACACACACACACACCCGGCTGCCTCCACTCTTCGTCTTTCTCTCAATCTCTCCCTTTCTTTTCCTGCCTCTTTCTGAATCCATTTCTATATCACACACCCACTCGTTCTGCGGCAGACAGACCAAACAACCAGCAATAATGAAGTGGCACTGCATCATCACAAACACTGCTGTGTGTCTAAATGAGCTGGAGAGGAAGCAGGCAGAGCTTCTGCTTTGTTTCCTAATTATTTACTACTCGCGGAGCATAGGTGAGGACGGGAGGAAGAGGGGAGAGACGAGGAGGGGGGAGAAGGGAGGATGCTGGAGGACTGAAGGAGATGAGAGGAGATGAATGGGAGAAGAGAGGAGAAGTGACAGAAAAGGTGCACATGAATATGATTCTTTGTGTGTGTGTGTGCGTGTGTGTGTGTGTGTATCTGTGATGCCCTCTAACCAGAGAAAGCCTTGGCTCAGCCTGACTGGCTTTGCAGCTTCTCCCAGCTCTAGAAATGCCTGGCTGCGTAGCCAGATGACTCACACACCAAGCTCAGAACTCAAGCCAGGGCTTAACACACACTTCATGACGGCAAAAGCACTCACACACACATGCATGCACATATATGCCCGAACATAGTACATGCGCACAAATAAACACATCCGCTCACACCCAGATCCAATCAGGTGTGTGTATAATCTCATCTGCACTGAGTTAATCTGCCCAGACTCTCTCACACAAACCTGGAAAGTTTGGTTTGTTTTACTTACATCATCACATATCTGTTCAAAAGTACTTCACAAAAATGTTTTTTTTTTCTCTCTCTCTCTGCTACACCTCGGCTGCTTCGGTAGAAAAGTAAATCACCACCATAAAAAGCATTTAAAGAGTGATTTAAACAAAATTAACTTTTTGGAGCTTGTAAATTTTATGCATAGCCACTTTATTACACTGTCAGTTGCCTCTGCTTGCAGTCTATAGTATCCATTGTAAATGTTTTTACGTAGTTTTCTTTGAGTAATAAAACACGAAAAGAGATTTCTAAGTACAAGGCAACATTATGTTCAATTTAATCTTTTAGGACCTTATCTATGCCCTTATCTTAGCTTTTGGGGTTTTGCAGTGGCAGTGTGAGCAAGAATAGCAGTAGTACACAGTTTCCAGACTTGGAGTGTTTGGAGCGAAGCTACATCCTTCTGACTCCTCAGATGCATCCCTCTGGGGTGCATTTTTAAAATATGAGAAAATACAAATCATGTTAAAGATAAAACAGAGTTGTTAAGTTGCTCTTCATGTCGGATTGTCTTGTACATTTGCTTTTACTTTGCTAACCTCCTGCAGTTATTTATTCACACAAACACTTGTACACAAGTTTACTGACAAAACAGGTTTCCCTGGTGGAAAAAAAAAAAACACATTTTGCTTGTGTGTTGTGGAGGATTCCGTCCTACTTGCTGCCTGGAATATAAAGTGTTTTAATTATATGCATCCCTTCACTTCAATGCAAACACCTGCCAGCGTTGTGACAGGGAGATTCTCTCTGCCTTGTTTACTCATCGTTGTTTGCATTATCCACAGAATAATATGATAAGAACATAAAATCCAATTATTAAAAACAGAAATGTGTTAAAAAATAATCTGTTTATTTTTTTCTCTATTATGAAGTTTTTATGACTGTTTTTATTAGAAGGTTTAATGCCTGTTTTGTAAGCTGACGGGTATCATCAACAGACATTTGTCATACCTATATTTAGAGTATAAAAGCTTTGGGCTGCTTTGATTTGGATTACGGTATTCTTTACTTAGAGAATGTGACCGATTCAGTATACTGTTTAGAATGCATACATGTATTCTTCTTTTTCTGTTTTGTTTCTAATCTATGGGCACCAAGACGTCGTTCCTGGCTATTCCCTTTCCTGTTTCCATTATCTAACAGGTCTAAAGTTCTTTTCCTCTTTGTGCGCTATCACAAATGTACATCTATCCTGAGTTGACTGTAAACAGATGGGTGACAAACTAAAAGAAAACCCTCAATTGTTGACCCTGGTGGCTCTGTTATGCTGTAGGGGGCATTTTGCTGGCATGGTTTTGTTCACTTGTAGGAAAGGACCACTGGAAATCAACACTAAGTTGTTCTAAGTAACCACCTTTCTTCTGTGGTTCAACATTTCTGTCATTTTGGGAGTGGTCTCTTCCAGGACAACAATGCCCCCATCCGTAAGGCATGGGTATAAACCTCCATTTGTCACATGACATTCTCGTTGAAGTTTTCAAACTCCCCTTTGCTAAGAAAAGCAAAAACTTCCAAGAAGTAACTTATACTCTGCAAATGGCAAGTTCTGATGAAGGCTTGGATTGTGCAATTAGAAAGTCTTCCTTGGTTCTTTCAGTGAAATAGTCCCTTTAATTGAAAATGCTTGCCTCCTTGTGTGCAAATGTTCTACCAAAAATTTCCCCCCGATACCATTTTGCAGAGGCACCAACACTGTATCCTGGGCTTAACGCTGCTTTAGTTGATTTTACTGGTTTAAAGAAATACAAATTGGGAGAATTTGGACAATGGGAGAGAAATGAATTATGGGACGGGTGTATGAGACAGCTCTCCACGTCCATCATCAAAACACCGAATATTGTTTGGAAGAATGTTGTTCCATCTCGCCAGTAGTCCTCCTGCAGTACTCCTCCAGGGGCTCCAGAGATATAGCAAATCTATGCCAAGGTGCATCAAAGCTTTTCTGGTAGGCCACCATCTTACTGAGACACTTGGTGTTGGGTTTACCTTTAATTCGCCATATGTCTGTTTGTGTTTGATCATTTCTATGCCCTACGCCTTCATCCTCAAGTGTTTTCACTTTGAAGTTTGCTGTCCCTGATTTGACAAGCACCTCACTCAGTTGCATATTGCTGAAAGGTGTACAGGGAAGACATTTCTCCTCTGATTGTGTGCTCTTGGTAGCTTATTTGAGCTGCTGTATTCATATCTTAAAACACTCCCAAACAACAATGAGATTCCCAGAATTCCCAAACTGCCGGTGCATCGACAAAGAGAGGACCCTGTGTTTAGAGGGAAATGTGTTTGGCCACAATTTCCACAACTTGTAACATGGCCATGTATAAAGTGTGATACTGTTCTGATACTACCCTATTTCCAATTGTGCCAGTTGCACCTGGGGAGTTTGTCCATGAAATACCAAAATGTGTTTGATACACCCTCAGCATATGGAGCAGAACGCACTTGCTTGAATGTACTTGTAGTAAACAATTATTTTCCCTATATATTGTCTTTCCCCAAGACAGAGAGACATTGTCTGGTGGGGTTTGTGTTTGTTTTACAGATGCAATACACAAAAAAAAAAAAGCAAACAATGCATGTATGCTTTAACAAGACTAAGAGTCGACAGTCATGCTCGTGGCGGCACTAGCTAAGTGCATCACAATGCTTACATGACATGGCTAAGACACTGAGTTTATGCAGGTATATTGTTCAATATGTTAACTAATTTACCTATTGAAAGCAACATTTGTTAATTACCACAAGCACAACATACAGATACAGAATGAAATATTGTTAGAAGTATTTCCTTATAAATTATTTAAAAAAAGACACTTTGATCTTATGAGTCAGGATATTACTGGTATTTTTTGGGTTCATTATCTGGGATCCATGACTGTCTGTACAAAATTAGGTCACGACCCGTGAAGCAGGTGTTGAGATATTGTTACTGCGAAAGGTAAAAACGTAGAACTGATGGTGGCACTAGAGGAAAAACAAGAGGATCACAAACCCACCATAAAATGTCTTTGTGCAAAATGTCACTGGAATCCGTCCAGTCGATCCAGTATCTCAGTGTGGACCAGTGAGTCGGACTGACCTACTCAGAGCCCAACACTGAGTGTATTTGCATTTACAGTACATGCAATGAACAGTTGAAAGTCCTCCACTGTATATTCTAAACCTTTTGTTGTATTCTCTAATAGAGCATTGCATGTTTTTGTTTCCTTCCGGCAGAATGCGGGAACGGGGTCCTTGCATTTGTGGAGTAGGTGTGTGGAGTCTGCTGCTATCCCTTTGCCTGGCCTCCCTCACACATGCACACAGGAGCCACACAGGTAGGAAGATGTTTGTCTGCATGTCTGAATGTGTGTGCACCATATATATACACCTGTCAGTCGGTCAGTGTCTGTTTACAGCATCCACAGTATGGTAGATTACCGCAGCAGACAGCCTGTTCAGCCAATTTCTTTTCACATGTTGTAAAGTTGTAGTGAATAGATCGTGTGCCACCCGAGGGTATGCCGAGGTCGGATTCACAATGAAATACAAGACCGCAGAGGCAGGTTGCCAGGAAGAACACACAAAATGTTCTTTAATAAAAGAAAGGGGAATAGGAGTAATCCAACAAGAAAGGTCTTCTCAGTTCAGGGGCTTTGGCGTCTTTGCGGTCCCATCAGGGCGGGATGACTCTCAAAAAATGCCTGGGGGTTACAGCACAGACAGTGAGCAGTGAGCTTTGTGGATTAGAAATCCCTGGTTGTGTGATATCCTTCCCATGTGGTCCAAGTGGCTGAGTCACTAGCATGATTGAGCCCAGAGGCCGCTTGCTACTTTTCACTTCATTTCTCGTGTGAAGGTTGGGTATCTTTGCCTCCCTGATTCACAGTGATCAACTGTGTGTGACACTGAAAATTACATACCGCTGGGAAAAAAAAAAAAAAAAGGTTTAATGGGGAGCACGTCGTGCCTGTTACCTGTATAAGAATAAGCTCTTTTATGTGGGCAAGGTCGTGGTGTTCACTTATGAATAGCACATACAAACATGAATATGAATGCTTTTTTTGTGTATCTTTGTAAAATGTTTGGATTTTAGTCGAGGATATGTCAGAAATGTGAAAGTCTGTGATAGTTTTATTTGCTGTAGTTTTGTATTGAATTTGTGCTCTAGTGCACCAATTAATAGAACAGCTTTAAAATGTATAAATGCGTGGGTTTTCTGTTTTGTTGTTGGGACTGTAAAAGAGGTGTTGATTTAACTTAGTGCCATTTTTATGATTCTGTATGTATTCTTGTAGGCTTAACAAAACTTACTAGGCAGTGCTGGACTTTGCCTTGACTAATTAAACAATGAGCAAAGCAATAGAGTGTGAGTAGAGCTGAAGCCACTCATGTAAACATCTCTGAGCCATGCACTGTTCTGTGATGGTAGCCAGCTGTCACTCAAAGTAGAAACACCCTTAAAATCATGGGTAACGGTAAACCTTACGCCATGGATACGCTGTAATGTACGCGGACCGTTCATAGAGCAGATGTGCCATATTTTTAGTGGCTGCACCTGCAGATAAGATAAGACAAGCCTTATTTCATCCCACAGTGGGGAGTTTAGCAGTGTTTCTACGGCAAAGGCGAAACTGTAAGGAACATTAGCAGAAAAATAAAAAAAAGAAGAAGCAAAAAACACAAATACGTATTGGTTTTTCCATAAGTGGATATGCAGCTTGTACAAATTCCTCTGCATGCGGAAAATAACAACATTACACATATCGATGGACAATGATGCACAGATTCCTAGAACGCCTGATGAAGAATATGGCACAGCTTTTATCCACATTGCACAGATTCCTTCTTAATTAGAAAAATACTCATGATGGGCTGTGGTAAAGCAAGATGGTGGCCTTTTGTTATGGGATAGTCTTTAGTGTCTGAACACAGCAGATGTTTCTCAATGAGGGTGTGCAACATGACGACGTAGGCACCTGCAGACTACAGTAGACTCTGTACGGGGTAAAGTTACTAAGCGACTGTAAGCTGGTAGCTGCTGGCAAATAGATCAATCAGATAAAACCATCTCTGTCTAAAAATGACGCACAGACCTCACGAAAAAATATAAATAGAAGACTGTGCATACACACGACGTACTTCCTGTCACACACCTGGTGCAGCGACTTTGATTGATTATAATAAAACAAAGTGCACAAAGTGAACAAAGCAGTATTCCCGCATTTAGCGTAGCCACACGGGTAATACAATTTAACCAGGAGCGTTGCATAAGAATTCCCCTCCGTACAGTTTTTTTTCATGAATAGGGACAAGTGGTTATCAAACCTTTTTTTTCCCCTTTGTTCCAGGTTTAAACATGTTTTTTTCCTGCTGTACAAATGTTCATTTTAACATGGGGGTCAATGGAGATTGATTCACTTTTGAAGAATAGTTTAAGTGGCCTTTTGAGGAATTGCAGCTTTTCAGACTTAGTGGTTGCTGCTTGGTACAGAGAAATAGTAAATAGAGGTTATGGAAAAGAGTGTGGCTAGTTGATGAGGAATTGATTTGAATTGCATTTGTTGTGAGGCAAGAAGCCACCGGAAAGGTATTCCTAATTATGCATCCATAGCACACCGAGCCATGCTGTCCTCCAAATGCTGCACCAAAGATGCATATCTCTGCAAAATGTTAATTTGCCAGTTTGAGAGATTGTTGCCTGTCTTAAAGACATAATCATGTAGCTAGCAAAATACATTTTAAGACTTCTCATCTTGACTTGTGGAGCAAAAATGTCCACAGCAGGGATGTGATTAACATGTAAAAAGAAAAAAAAAAGAAGCGTATCCGACCAAAATAAGTAATTGACAATGACAAAATGACCAGAGGGTAAAAGCAAGAAGTGATGATAGTGGATTTTGTGTTTGCTTTGACTACATGTGATAGGCAGTGATGGCTTGAAAATGTTAAGCTCTGCCTTTGGCTTTCATGTCGTGATAAGTGGTGTGCACCAGCTGCCCTTCATCTGAGCTGGTTGTCTTTGTCTTGCTTTTCGCTGTGTGTGTAACATCAGTGATGCTAAAGATATTTACACTACAGCATTGTATTGTGTGTCTCAACATTTGCTTTGTACGGATTTCTATTAGTGAATGGCTGAAAGGGAAAATGATTCATTTTCATTAATTAAAAAAAAAACAACAATCCAGCACCAGCAGCTTTGACAGATGTGCGCTCGTCCTTCAGCCTTCTGTGTGGAAACTGAAACATTCTCATAATGTTGTCACTTCTAGGAGACATCAAGGTTCTTTGTGTGAGTTTATGCACGTGTACAGTAAATGAATGGCCTTGCTGGAATGCGACTACTTACAGCACAACCATGGCTTTTGTGTGTGTGTGTGTCTGTTTGTGTATAAGATTGACTCCCCTCTTCTTTGGCATTATCTCTTTCTCTCACAGAGAGATTCTTGACAAGGCAAGGGCAAACATTGTCATAAATGGAAGGGGTGGTGAAAAGACGCGGAGAAAGGACGGAGACGTTCTCTTACTATAGTGCTTCACCGGGCTTTTAGTGAAGTGCTGAGGTCTGCATAAAGCAATAAAAACGGCGAAAAACGGAGGGTGTGAGAGAGATAAACAGCTAAGTCACAAAGATGGGCAAAAGTTGAGCACCGTTGGCCTTTTGTGTGGCTAAAAACTCACTTGTTTTTATCATATTACGCTCGGACGTAGTGGTGTTGATGGTGGCGGTTTCCGCGTGGGCATGTGTGTGTCTTCTCCGTGCTCCCGTTAATGGGTGATTGATTGTGGGGTAAGTTGTAATCAGGGAGTTACAGCGTTATCCAGTTGCAGGTTTGTCTGAGTGGGCAAAAACAGACGAGTAATCAGATAATTACTGAATACAATCCCTTAGGTCACTTCAAGGTTGACGCTCTCACTCATACAACACAAGCACACACACACACACCGTCTCTGTCTCTCACACACACGTGCATACGGTGTGCTGGCATGTAAACACGATTTGGTTGTTAGGCTGGGAGTGATGTGATGATAACAGCCTCTCCTCTCTTCATTCATATAACTTTACATTTACGTGGACACGTGTGTTAGAGCTCATTCATTCATGTAAAATGTATGAATATATTATACTACATGTGCACCAACCACAGCTTATGGGACTGTCATGACTCCAGGTGACTAACTCGGCTGTGGCCATTCTTGTAGTAAATCGAGTCTTTGGTAGGAACAAAAAAAAAGACGCCGCTCTCAGCTCAGTCTGTTGATCAGGTGTCATCTCTTGTTACGTGAAGTGAAGCCGTGGACAGGGCAAACTTTACCCACCACTCGCCAGCCATACGATAAAACATAGACGAATTGTCACGAAGCGGGCCAAAAAAAAAAAGGGGGGGATTTTATTTCACCCGACACTAATGCATTTGTATGCGAGTATGTATATGAGCGTGTACTTGCCACCAGTTCACGAGACGTTTGCTGACAAGACGGTTGCAGCAACCTCGGGAGGAATGCGGCTAAAGAAGTCTCAGCATATGTTAATGTGTGTGTGCGCTATTATACGTGTGTGTGTCTTCATAGCTTCTGCTCATCTTTTATTCTTCAGATTTTTATCTCTCAAGACAGAATGGAAAAAGATGCCTCCATTGATGCTTCTCCATCTGTTAAGCCATCCATCCTCCTGTCTTTTTCTCTTATTCGCCTGCTTTATTATACACATCACTACAGAAATTTATGAAAATTACAGCCTTCATACCTAGACCACAGAGCTTTAACACTCGGAGCGGACCACAGATCTCCTGCAATGGAGAGATCTTATTTGTAGACAAAGTCAGGCCTTGGTTAAATGTCTCAGTAGCTTTGCCAATACTGTTGGAGAAACAGCTTGGCTTGGATTTTAAAGTAAAGCGGAACAGCGATTATGCTGATCACTTCACCACACACTGTCGAGTCATTGATTCTCAGTCTATAGGCTGCAATCTCCATACATCGCCACTGATTAGAGGTTACTAAGAACTTAAGTTACTCTGAAAGGCATTGTGACTGCCAAGAAGGGGGAAACAGAGACGTAAGGACGAAGATATATAGGGCCAAGACGCATGTGCTAAACCGCTCTCACACAAGCTCAGAGGGACATGTGCATCCAGTCAGCCACACACAAGCCTGCAGTAAACGCACACCGAAAGACACCCACGAACGCATGCACGCGCGCGTACATGCATGCACGGTCAAAGGAGCTCTTAAATGTGATGTGCAGAGACAGGCTGTCTGCCCTTCTTAGTGGCTGCTCCACAGTAAAGCGGCACTCCATGCTTGGTCAACAACATGGCTCCATATGGCTTGTGAA